GTAGTAGCAGTAGTAGTAGTAGTAGTAGTAGCAGTAGTAGTAGTCGTCGTCGTAGAAGAAATAGAAGTAGAAGTGGAGGTAGAAGTAGTAGTAGTAGTAGTAGTAGTAGTAGTAGTAGTAGTCGTCGTAGTAGCAGCAGTAGTAGCAATAAGTAGTGGCAGGGGTGGTACTAAACATAGTCGTAGTAGCGGTCGGCCCTGAAGCATGCACGAAGGCTGGGCGCATGTCCATTCTGCGAGCAATGCGAGCATGCCCTTTCTAGCCTAAGTCGAAATCCCCAACACCGTTTGATAGATGCTTAGCAGCTCAGTTATTCACCCCGTCACATTAGAACCTAAGTACTTGTTTCTTTGATAACTACAACCTCAATAGGCAACTCTAGTGACTCTAGTGCTCGACATCCTCCCTTTGGTCTTTGATGTGTCTATGCAGAAAACGTGTGCAACAAGTGCCTGAACAACACTCTCTGCAACAACTGCCCGAATCTTCGGCTTGTGAATGCTTGTAACAAGCGCCTGACACTGTTGGCTGCGGCACATCGGCTGCGGACAGGAAGTCGTGGACAGTCCCCATGCATTCATCGTCGCGGACCTGAGCTGTCGCCGACCACGCTGTCTGAAACCAAGATGCGTGCGTTCCTACAACCCGGGTCATGGACCACAAGCGGCAGCCGCAAGATGGCAGGCGCTGGTCGCAGAAGAAGCTTCCTTAACACATTGTGCCGTCGGCTGCAGCAACATGGCAACGCAACCTCGAAACGAACCCGTGATTTCAACTATATTGGGCACAGCTACGCTGCCACCAGTGAAAAGGGGTCTCCACCAGCCAGACTCCACCAGTAGTAGAGGTGTTCCACTCGCACTCCAAGGCCTCACTCGACTTCCAGCATGGCTTGTGCAATTGAGTGTGCTCCTGGATGAGGTTTCAGCCTGGACTTTTGGACCACAGTCCAGGCTCTGCAGCGCCAAGCGACTTGAGAAATAGCGCATGGGTGGCACGACCGTTCCAGGGTCAAGCGCCAAAGCTGCAGATGTCTGCGCGGCCCAGGCACTGTCACCGCCCAAACGTTCGGACCTGATGTTGGCTTCAGGGCTGGCGGAGAAGTTCAACAAGCTGCTACATGCTGCTACGGTGCCGCCACACTTTGGCGAAGCCATTCTGAGGCCGCGGCTGCAAGGCTGAGCTCAGCGCCCAGAGCTGGAGATCCTGAATTTTGTGCTGCGACAGGCTCGAGTGCGACGCCAAGTCTTGTGGGCGCGGTCGATGGGACGGGTTCCTGCTGGCAAGGACTGTGTGGCGAAGACTACCGCTCTCCAAAAAATCTGTGGAATCTGCTCAGCGGTCCGTCAAGCTTTTGCTAGCCGAGCATCAGAATAAGGCATGCCTCGAACAAGTCATGAAGGCCGGCTTCGCACAAAATACCGTCCGCCATGAGCCACTTTTGGTATGATGCCTGCCAAGACTTCACGTGCCGGCATCAGATGATCACATCCAGCACCCTGCCTTGAGGGCTTCGAGGGTTTGTGCATTTTCACCGCTGGAGCCTTGCACGAAGACAAGAGACTCAGCTGTGTTGTTGGAGGTTCACGTGGGCTTGCACTCAACAGCCGGCTCCGGTCCAGAATCGCAACTTAGCGAAGATTCGTTCCTGGTGGCTTAGCATGGGCTTGCTGAGAGGCTGCAGGGAGCCAAAGACTGCTGGCCTGCATAGGCCTGCAAGTTCCTGCAAGTTCCTGCAAGGTGCATAGCCGCCCTGGGTCCCCCGACCTTCGGCTCGGCTCGGCGCTCGTGGAGCGACCTGGCTTTTGAGCCTCGGCAAGCGCGGCTCGGCTGGAGAAGCCACGCGGCCGGGGCGTGCCCGCTGCGTGCTTCAGAGGCACAAAGAGCGAAGCGTCAGCCCCGGATTCGGCCCGGCCAGGGCGCTACGCCACAGCTCTGCCTAAATCCGAAAGCCGCGCAGCAACAACAACACCAAACTCAGATGCTCAACACAACTTATCGAGAAACAGCTCAATGTGCTGCGTCAGCGGCAGAAGTTTCGACCGCAACGATGTGGCAAAGCTGCAGCGCATTCGGAATTCCTGCAAGCGTATTGGCTTGGAACGGTCATTTCCTAACAGTGACCTGGGAACAGCACTTGAACAAAATGGAGATTTAACTCTAAAAGAAGAAGCTGGAACAAGAGGCAGAGTAAAGCTGATCCTGTGGTGGGCAGAAAGCTGAAACCAAGCTGAACAGCTTAAAAATACAGTAGCGAGCCCATATCCGAACATCGAAACCCAAAGCCACCCTAAATAAACAAGAGCGGCCCAACCGAATTGCCAGCATTCGGCTACAAAATGCTACAAACGACGTGAAGCAATCTAGGTCATACACTATAGAAACCCTGGACTTTAGTAACCTAAATTCTAATTGTGGGCTTTATACATTTAGACCTAAATAACAAAAACCTAATACGCCATGAGAATTTCGGTTTGTTGGGTCATGGTAATCGTATTCGAGGTTAAATGTTTTTAGGGTTCAGGTTTCGGGTGCTGCAGGATTTTAGGGTTTAGGGGACTTTGGGAATGGGTTTGAGCGTCTGCGCTGTCGCTGCCAGGATGGGGGTTTGGGGTTTACGGCTTCTGGGGTTTAGGGCCTTCGCGGCATGATCGACTCGAGTCCGTGTGAGAGAGAGAGGGCTTTGGGGCACTAGTTTCGGGGCATCGGAGGGTTTCTCTCGGGGCTCTATGAGGTCTCTATAAGGGGTTCTATGTGGGCTCTATGAGGTTTTTATAGGGGCTTCTATATGGGCTCCATAAGGGTTCAGAGTTTAGTGTTTCTTATAGGGTTTAGCGGCTAGGGTTTTAGGATTTGGGGCTTCGGGGTTTCGGGTTGAGTTGGGACGTCCAGGCTTTGCGAGCTTAGGCTGTTTGCTGTTTTTGGGTGTAATATAGGGGCCCAATAGCTACCTATACTCTTCTGGAGGTTCCTTATAATAGTTATTGCGTAGTAATCTACCCCTAAACGCTAAACCCTGATCTTAGGGTTTGAGGAGTTTACGGCTTAGGGTTTGGGATTTAGGGTTTAGTGCTTGAGGAGTTTAAAGCTTTGGGTTTGCGGCTTATGGTTTGAGGAGTTTACGGCTTAAGATGGTTCCCGATCGCTTTTGGCATGCAAGTGCTTCCATGAGCGATCGGGAACCATCTTATGTCCCACGAGCGATCGGGATTCGCGGTGGAGTTTCCCGATCGCTCTGGAGCAATTTAAGGGTGCACCCTGTCGACGTTTGAGCCCTCCCGCTGGCTGCAGTCTGGGGTTGAGGGATTTGAAACTGAAGGCTCCAGGGCTGCAGCTGCAGCTTTAGGGACTTCAAACTTAAGCCTTAAGTTTAGGGCTGCGGTATTAAACTCCATCAACCCACAAGACCATGGAAACCAAATGAAACATCTCTGCAGTAAGGAAGCCTAACTTATATAACAGGGATGGAAACCCTAAACTCAAAGCCCTAAACTCCTCAAACCCTAAACCCAAACCCAAAACCTTAAACTCCTCAAACCCTAAACCTAAACCCTTTTTGCATCAGGACTTGTGCAATCGCCTGAAGAGTGACTTCCACAATGCAAAGAATTAGTAAAACTGTACAAACCCTAAACCCTAAACCCCAAACCCAAAGCAGTAAACTCCTCAAACCCTAAACGCTTGACATGTGAGAACCAAGGTTTCGACTCATACACTCGCAACTGCAGGCATGGCAATAAGTGTTCGAGATTGCTGTTTCGACTCACACACTCGCACGAAG